TGCGCACAGCCTTCATGGCAGCATTAATATGCATGATGATCATTATTTATTTTATATACAGAATCACTGCTTGAATAATACTAGATGTATAACAACAAATTTTAATGTTACTAAAAAATTTTTCTTGTCAGGACTTCAAAATTCTTTGTAGAGCCCCCATCCATAAGCACCAGTTATTTGTAACAAACATGTAGTACAAGCCACAAACAAGATCCAGATTTAATAATGACAGCTTCCTCCCTTCCTAACCCTCTGTCCTACATAAAAAATAGGCACATAAATTTGAATCAATGCTTAACCTTAATGAACAGTAAACCTCTTTCACACCCTCTCCCTGTCAATTATGGCAACACATACTCCATATTCACTGTTATACTTTGATTAATCTCACTTGCTAAATTAAGTAAGATTTCTTTGTACTGAGCAATACTGGGTGGATATGCACCAACAGTTTTCATACACACTCACACATCATTTACATTGCACTAAGGGGAAATATAAGTCACATTAAACAACTAATGTTTTTGAGATGATGGCAATCAATGCTTAAGAAATATCAATAGATTTATCTGCTTGGAAATGATTAGTACCAACATGCTTCAAATACAAAGTAGGTGTATTAGTATTTGGGTTCCATATCTAGCCCAGCCAACAACAGTAGAGTTAGTGAATATAAATATATGGTTGTACCTAATATTGCAGTTGGTGTAGTAATGTCTGTGTCAGTGGCCCACACATAATTTCTATACATTTTGGACTTATTTATGTAATCATATATGCTTGACTATCTGGTTGCACTTAATGTACAATTAAACAATTCTTCAAAGTTTGGCTTATTACTAACAATTGCTTTACATAATTCGTAATGTTAAAAAATGGACCTAGTAATAAGATATCAAAGGCCATTAAGTAAACAGTTCCCATCACCAGGGACATCAAGAGTACTATTATGAACTCTTTCATCTGGCAATGGCATTTTAGACTACCAGGGAAGATTCTAGCAGCTGTGACAAATTTAAGATTTAAAATCTTACACCAGCTTTATTGAAATACTTCATTACCAGGGTAATAAACATAATCCCGTTGTCTCCTCACAATATCTGGGTTGGGAGGCTCATCATAAGTAAAGATGACATCATCTTATTTTGGATTACTTGTCTTTAATTTAATGCTTGCGAGTTATATAGATACAATCAGACTACTGCTACAATGGTCAATTTTTAAAACACACTCAGTAATATCATCTTTTGCTTTACATTTAATGTTTGAGAGTTTTATAGATACAATGATACTACTACAACCATCATCATCTTTGACATTAAATTTGGTTTTCAGGTCTTTTAAATCAATTGAAACAATTAATTTATTATCTTTTTTAGAGCGAGGCAATACCAAAGTAGTATTGTCTGTATTACTGTCAACAGCAAATTTTTTTTTTTTGGGGCATGGCTTTAAAGCATTATTGTCATATATTTTACTCTTTTTGGGGCAATTAGACTTTTGTAAATCAGTTCTTCTACGTTTATTGCTACTAACAGTACTGTTACGAGTACCTTGTACATGACTTACAGATACCTTGGTATTCTTACTACAAGGTTCAACATCAATTATACCTGTCACTTGAATCTTTCTTTTTTCCTTTACTTTTCTTGATTTGAGGTAAGTCATTACAAAATGTACTTTTGAGGCGGTTAATTTCTTTAATGCACGGACTACTAACTTTAACAGAGAGAGGATCAAATGATATTGAAAGTAATCCATTTAATTTACATACACGAGACAATGAAACATATGCCATACCATCCCCAAAAACATCAGTCAATAAATCAATAATGGCTGTATCTAGTGAAAGGCCTGGACATTTATGTATAGTAATAGCATAAGAAAGTATAAGAGGAAACTGTTTCCTGTGAATATAATGGTATATGTGGCAATGGTATAAGTGATGCTCGTAGTGCTTCCTTGGGTCCTGCCTTTTGACAAACAGAACAACTCCTGCAATAGCCTGCTACATCACAAAATATTCCTGGCCAGAAGAATTGTTGCAGTAACCTCTGTGTTGTCTTGGTCCTTCCTAAGTGTCCTGCAAAGGGTGTGGTATATGCAACTTTCAGCAATTCTCTACAGCACTTGACTGGCACCACCAACTGCTCTGTCTCCTCATCCCTTTTCTGTGGAATCCACCTCCTATAGATCAGTCCATCTCTTATGAAGAACTTGACAGTTGACACCAGACCCCGTGAGCTCCTCCTCTGCAGCTAGCCGTATCTTCTCAAGTGAAGAATCATGCTGTTGCAGCTTCTGGAACTCTTAGTGTAACGTCCAGACTGCTAGTCACATGTCTGTATTTCCTCCATGCATCTTTCTGCTCCTGTCTAGTCCTCCCTGGCTTATCCCTAGAAACAAGAAACATCATCATTAAATGCATTAAATAGATCCACCTCTCTTCAGCATCAGCAATGTCATTTGTGTTTGTTGAGCTGTCAGGTCCCTCTGCTGCTGAGCTGTCAGGTCCCTCTGTGGTTGCTGAG